TTTGTTTTAAAACATAACATTGATACATTGTAGCTAAAGAGTTCCCTTTTATTTAACAAATCTTACGTGACCAGAAAAAACAAGCGCGCATGGAAAAATAGTCTTTGCATTTGCTCACGTCTGCAGCCTACACCCATGGGCAAATGGGGGACGCTAAATTGACCAATCAGAGTGCGCGCTTTACTTTGCTTATGTTATAATTTATGATACATCAGCAGAAATAAAGGAAGTTACATATACATTGATACAATATAACCAAAGATTTAGCATGTGGTGAGGAAACCCAACCTTATATTTCACAAAAGTAAGGTATCAGTTTTTTTGGTGTGATTTTGGTACAACATATTTTAGGTTTTAAAGGAAAGAACACACCACACACAACATATAAAACAGTGATAACAATAACAGGCACTCAAACATGTGCTTGAGCAGCTTGAGAAAAATAGTAAATAAATAATAAGGGAATAAGAAGAGATTCTGCTAGATGTTTATCACTGTTAGGATTTAAAGGGTTACGGGTCATAAAAATAAGATGACATTAATGAATTGCTTCTAACAATTGATTTGAAATTTTATTTACCTCTTTACAGCTCCTGCGCCTACAAGTGCTGTTTCTCATATAGCGACTATTTGTGTAGGAAAAATTGGGAAATTTGATTCCTTTTATGATCCAAGACATTGCGACAGGCTCAATAGTATCAAAGAAGCTGAAGATGATCCACGACGTATCAAACCTGACCAGATTGTATTTGCAATCAGGTTTCCCTTTCCTGGCCAGTTGATGTCTCGCTGGTTTCAGTTTGTAGCAACGTCAATAAGGCTGGATATCGAGTACAGGCCAGAATACAGATATGATGATAGTCAAGGTAACTTCAACGGAGACATTGCACATTTGTGAGTCACAGTATCACTTAAAAATAAGTTAACACTCAATCCTTGACACCTGAAATTATTTCAAGGATCAAGATTTGAGGCTCAAGGATTGGGACTCTCAGAAAACTTTTTAAGGATCCTGATCTGTAGTATTAAGAAACAATTAAATTCTTGCACGTAAAACAATAGCGAAGGACAAAGCACTTGCCATGCACCTCTTCTTTAAACACACACACACAGCATGCAGACACCCAAATGTTTTCATATATAAAGCATGTGTTAAGGAAGTTTTTGAAGGCCTTTTTTTTTCCATTGAAGCTCTAGTTGTCTGCCTATAGCTGTAGTTCCCATAATTAATTTTCTAAAACACGATAGTCCCAAAGGCAATCAACTGTTTTTGTTTTGTTTTGTTTTGTTTTGTTTTTTTTTTTATCCAAGAACTGTATGCATCATGAAGTATGGGGCTGTGGTAAAATATTGCCAAATTTATATATTTATCATAGTCAACGATTAAAAGTTAGAGTTTTTATTAAGAAAATCATTATCAAGAGCTTTTGGAGTATTATTATTTTACTGAATTGGAGGTGAAAAGTGCTGAGGTAGATATCTACCGCTATCACCAACAAGGAGGTAAATGATGGTTCTTTTGTAGGAACCACACAGAAACCAAAAAAAATAGTGTATTTTTGTCAATCTTTGAAATACATTGGTTTGGAAATCAAACTCTTGAAGCACCACTTTTTCTCTTTATCTGCTCTGAGGTGAACAGTACTTGCCATCCACTTGTGAACTGGCCGATCAGCACAGGCAAAAAGCACTATTCACTTGTGTGACGTACATGTATACCTATTTATAATAACCGAAGATTACTCTTAGCATCTAAATACATATTACAACTTAATCAGGGCAGGGCTTAGAAATCAAGGGGAGAATTGTAGAAAATAGCCAGAAAATTCTTTTACATCCAAAGCCTAATAAAAACTCTGAAATGTAGAAATTGGGTTGAAGAAAACTATAATTTTTTTTTGTTGTTAATATTTTAAGGCAAAATAGCACCAACACTAACTTTTGAGGCTCACCTGGGTTACCTGTCGAATAACAGCTCTGGTACAGGTCAGTGGGAACTCCTGGCAGAGGCTACAGAAAACAGGTCTCTTGTCTGCAACTTCACAAAATCAAAGGTAAAGTTCTTGTTTTTAAAAGTGACAAGCTGGTGCAAACCACTGGGGATTTTTGTGGAGTGGGAAGGGTGGAGTGGGAAGGGTGCAGTGGTGAGAACGCTTGCCTCCCATTGCTGTGGCTTTGGTGCCTGGAGCTGGCATCACATGGGTTGAGTTTTTTCGATGGTTTTCATTCTTGCTCCAAGGGTTTTTCTCTAGATCCATTTGTTTTCCTTCCTCTTCAAAAACCACATTGGAGTAGAAAAGCCAAATCACCCACTTTATGGAATGTTTACTGCTAAATTCTATTCTGATGTGAGTTTCCTGTGAAAATAATCCAAAACAAATTCATAAGAATCTTTTTTTTAAACTTGTTTGTTTATCTGCAGACTGGAGGTGATGATGGCTTCTATGATTGTGAAGAGATCCCATTCTTTGAGATAGGAGCTGTCCATTACGATGAATAC